GTAATTTATTCGGTCTGATTATAAAATCCTACGCCCTGTGATGGACTGTGAAGACGATGATCGGGATGTTGATGTTTGTACCAACCCCCCGGTGCCTTCATATACAAAAAATACATTTATCTATTATTCATATTGCACTAAACTTTAGATTTTTATTTTTCACTTTTTAAGAAAAACTATGCTGCTTATCCCGAAATATGATGACGTCAAATTTCTGTTTTCCATACCAAATTCATAAAAACTGTTTCTTTTTTTGCATTTCAATAAAAGTAATGAATTTGAATAGTTGTCTAATACCGTATTGCAGGGATTTTAAAAAACTGATATGTAAAAATAAATAAGTTACTTTTGATTATTGACTTGAAAGCATAAATTCCAAACCTTAAAAGATTAAATTCTTTTTTCCTAGGGAACGTCCCAGATAAGGCGAGCTTCCTCATATTATGGCGACCATGTACGTTTCCACAGGGGTACAGATTAAAACTTTCCACCAAACACATTAAAACAATTGACATGTTTTCCGAAAATTCGAATGTCTCATTTGTCCGATTGCCACAGATAATTTAGACGCAAAACACGATTTTCGAGCTGGGCGATCTACAGAGACTATTCTTGTTAACACGTTAACCGCCACCGGTGACCTAAGGTAGAGGAGGATTTGCTATCAAAGTTTCCTGTTGGCAGTTAAAGGATTACATATATAACAGACATTTCCGAAAATGTGTAATGTTTGTAAAAGGAATCTGTATGTGAAACTGATTTAAAAAGAGTAACAATGGAGTTTGTTGCTCGTTCTTCTCCATAGGAATCTACACTTTGGAACGAGCAAATAGCTTCACTAGAGGACTGACCGACAGACTGACACTATACAGGGTGTAAGGGACAGCCCTCCACAAATTAACAGGGTGCATTCAGCTCCTTATTCTGAATCATATTCCAGTGAAAATTCTTTCAGGAAAATTTTCAATTTTTTTTTCGTTTTTTCAGTTCCTAAACCTCTATTTCAATGTATAATTACATTTTATGTATGAAGAATAACATTAATGTAAATAACACAGCTAAAACAAAAAAATACGCAATGGTTGTGTGAATTCTCTAAAGAACTACGCATGAAATCAGCTGTTCAATTTCTACCTAGCGCGAGTCGTTTGAACTCACCGCACCGCGGTCACGGCGCAACGGCTCGGCGCCCCACCGCGCCGATTGCCGCCGCGCGCCGTAGGTATAATACCTACGATCCCGTCCAACGTACAGAATAGCTGCGTCCCTTTCTATCGCCCCGCCTCCGCGTCTCCCCGTCTCCCCGATTCTTTGCACAATGTTTGCCCGATTGAACCAGTGTTGCCAATTTTTAACTTTTGTTACCTCACGTAGTAAACGAAAATGTTAGAACTAGCGAAATTTATCTAAAACTTGAGAACTCCTTTGCTTTCATAATTACGTTGATGAGATTTTCATTAATCAATTAATGAAAATCTTGCCGCGCACATAAATTGAATAAGAAATAAATAAAGATTAGTCTAGTTTTAATTTTAAAGCATTTACAAATACTACCTAATTTATTAATTGATTGTTCTTTATAAGCGATTACTGGCTAGTTTTTAAACTACTTACAGATTTTTACATGGCTTCACAATAGCCATGAATTGATAGTCGAGCCAGAAATTAAACACAATCTCCCTGGAATGGAAGCACAGCTTTCTATCACACTGCACTTTTATTATTCTAAATTAACTAAACAATGAAATTAGAATTAAATTGATTTAATCAATTCATTTCTCTACAAAAAATAACAGAATGATAAATTACGACCATGCATAATTTTTTATTTTTTACCCCGAAATTTTGTAATTTTCGTGTAATTGGCAACAACAGATTTATGTTTGTGTGTGTCTCATCACATGCAGTCGCCATTGTGCCTTGCTGCGATGTTATTGTTTGTGTACCGCGAGCGTGTGTCGGCACGGATCGCTCGCGCATTCGGCTTAAAAGTTTTGTTATAAGTAGTGTTGTTAAGTTTTATTAGTTACTTAGTGTGTGAAGTGTAGTGAAGTTTTGTTGTAGAAATTGTGCGAAATTACTACCTAGGTACGTTTAGCGCGCGTGATTATGGGGAGATGATAATGTGTTGTAGTAGTGTAGGTATCCTGACCGTCGCCATCCATCAGACTCCAGGATAATTACTGGTGACTATCAACGCTTGCTAGAAAACCAGCCCATTGTTCCCAGACAAAAAGGCGCCGGAAGACCAATACCTACGTGGATTTTGGAATTGGTTCGCTAACGTAAGGAGACGCTACCACTTACCACTGCTTTCCTATTTAAACGTAGTTTAGGTAGGTTTGGACCGCAACTGTGGCCAGCACGATCCCCAGACCTAACCCATTTGGACCCCTTTTTGTGGGGTTACGTAAAAGAAAAAGTGTTTGTGAGTGCGTGTGCAAGTGAGTACGAAATGCGAGACCGCATCACAAATGCTTTCCAGAGCCGGAAACCGGAGCGATTCTAAGGTACCTACGCATTTTTCTTTTTTTATCATTTATCAGTTACCATGTTATGATTGTTAGATTTTTTTTTGTAAGTAATGCAGCTATCTTTTAAATAATAATTTATTGTTATTAAAACGTGGCGCGAGCGCGATTATTACATTGTCTTTTGTAAGTAATGCAGCTATCTTTTAAATAATAATTTATTGTTATTAAAACGTGGCGCGAGCGCGACCGTTTGTCTGAACGTAAGGTCGCGGCGCTGCCCATAGTGTAAAGTAATAATACTAAAAGCGCTGCCGTTCGCTGCGTGCGTTTGCGGTGGTAGCGATACATTGCGTGTAAGGTAATGAAACAAATCGGTTTAATTGGATTCCCATAACGTTCCTGAAATAATTTCATGTACCGGTCAACTTAAGACGATATACTGAATCCACCCTATCAGTTTGCGGAGGGCTGTCCCTTACACCCTGTATTTTCAAAATTTTGTTTGACGTTCAAAAGTGCCTGTAAAGGTCTAATTGGAATAAATTATTTTTGACTTTTGACTTTTTAAAGAAAGACTGGATGACAGATGTGATCTCGATGCTATGTGTACGGACTTTAGCAGAGCATTTGATAATGTGAGTCATCCAGTCGTGATAACAAAGCTCCAGTGAAGTGGAATCCAAGGCTCACTAAGAAGATGGTTTACTTCGTGTTGAGCAAACCGTTCTCAATTTGTTGCTGTTAATGGCTAAGTATCCCAAGTGTACTGTGCGCGTCCTGGTGTACCACAAGGGTCACACTTAGGTCCAGTTTTATTTCCTTCATTTATGAACGACATAAAAACTCAAATGAAGTATTGTCAAAGCCTTCTGTTTGCAGATGATTTAAATATCTTTAAAATAATGACCGACCCAATAGACAGCGAACGTGTCCAGAGAAATTTGAAGAATACTTATATTGGTGCATTACCAATAATATGATTTTAAATATAGTAAAATGCTTCCACATTCTTTTCTCTGAAAAAATAAGGCTATCTTGGGATCTTGGGTGATAGTAAATGATAAATTAAACGAATTAAATGAAATCGCCACGTCAATTACATTGTTCAAAAAATCTGCTCAGACGCTGGGTTTTGTTCTTGACTGTTAACCTTTCCCCCTTTTTTGAAAAGGGAAAATCATCAAATGACTTGATGGTGGAGCGAGAGGAACTGACAGACTGTTACTGACTAAAAACTCCCCCAGTTCCTTCTCCTGCTCTGGGCCGAGGTCGCGGTGACTCATTGCGCTTACCCCGCAACCCCGGCTGAACATCAGCCTTATAGGCCCCCGTCTGTGGTGGTCTATTGGCTCTTTGAGGCGCGCGTGGAACGCTACGCTAATTGAGCTTTTGGTCATTTTTATTAAGTAACAAAAGAAGGCATAACGTACAAAAGTTCATGTAATAAATATCTATGTTACTCGACCTTTTAGAACAAAACATCTTACACAGACCAATTCACAATGTTATGCCGAGTAAAATAAGATATTTTTAATTAAAAGACGCAATAATTCAAACTCAATGAAACAATATATGGGCTTTCGCCATTTTTCTTTCTCGGTCGCATAGTTTTACGAAATTAAACTTGGTTGTGGTGGACATTACCTAGATATGACTTTATATTCATAATCGCCAACCTTTTCTTTGTACTGCAGTAAAAAACCGAGTCGTCTTCATCATAATTCTTTTTTTTCTTTAAGTTACAGGTCAACAAACAAGCAGATTCCGTCTGCTTGTTTGTTGACCTAATGCAATTAGCTCCACCCAAGGACACCCGCAACAATAGAGGAGTTATGAGTGCGTTGCGGAACTTTTGGGGATTAGGGATTTCGCCCTCGGTAATCTCAGTGACACGGCGAAACACAACGCTGTGGTTGTTTCACGTCGGTTTTCTGTGAGGCCGTGGTATCACTCCGGTCGAGCCCAAGTATTAGAAGACAAAAGTTCTTGTTGAAAAACCCTGAATTTATTTCAGCGTCCGATGCGGTCGCGCTGCTGACATTGCCCTGGCAGTCTTTTTAGGCTAAGAATATCTATAGGAAACAGTAGACCGCTTAATATAAAGGAGTAGTTTAAGTGTGGGAGAGCCATGCTTCGGCACGAATGGATCTCTGGACCGAAGTGATACCACGGCCTCACAGAAAAACGGTGTGAATCAATCACAGCGTTGTGTTTCAGCGTGTAAGTGAGTTTACCTGATGCTCAATCCTTCCCCTCCCCCCTTCCCAATCCCAAAAACTCCAAATCCCTAATGCCCAGAAGGCTCCACCACCCTCCACATTTTCCCAATCCCAAAAAGAAAGGCAACGCATTGGTGTTGCGGGTGTCGACGGGCGCTGATTGCTTACCATCAGGAACAATCCACTTGCTAGTTTGCCGAACTATAGCATAAAAAATACCGTCGTTATTTCAGAGTTCGTCGTAGCAGTTTCTTCGTGCTAAGAACAGCTATAATATATGAAACAGTATAAATGTGTAGGGACTGACCCTTGCGATGCATGTGTAGCGGCGCGTCGCTGTCCAAGGAGTCAGCGCGCTGGCCGTGCACGCGCCGCGACGTGGCCGCCAGGGGCTCCGACGATGACTCCGACGAGCTCGCACAGCTCGCCGAGCTGGCCGAGCTGGCTGAGCTCGCCGACGACTCCGCCGCCGAGTGACCGTTCATTAGTTCCTCTGGTAAAATACACATTAACTGTTAGAAAAAACCTCGCCAAAATACGTTGCGTTGGGGGACCGTTACATTTTCTTACTTTTTAAAGGGATGTTTTTTTTTTACTAATATATTAGGTAAAAGTTACCTGGGGAATAATTATGATGCTGTCGCGTCACAATGTTTGTATAAGACAGTGACAGCAACAATTTTATTCCTCAGATAACGTTTATCTGACTATTGAAAAATCAGCCCTTAATAGTTTTTTTGTGCGACTATCGATATACGGACAGCGCTACATAATTATAAGCAAGGTAATGTTAGTAGATACTGACCCTCTTGGTCGCTGGAGGGGGGCGCGGTGCGGGTGGATCGTGCGGGGCGCGCGGTGCGGGGGGCGCGGACTGCGCGCGCGGGGCGCCGCCCCCCGGTAGTGGTGCGCGCCCCCGGGCCCTGCCGCGCCCACAGCGCCTCGAACAGCGCGGACAGACGGACCGTCATTGAGTATATCTGTGGACAGAGTAAAGGGTTACATTGCTGGCTATGTTCAAATAAGTAGATGTCAGTGGATTTTTATTTTTATGTAATAGGTTGGGAAACGACCTGATAGTAAGCAATCAGCTCTGCCCATGGATACTCGTAGTACCAAAGGAGTTACTACAAATTAGTTGTCGATCTCTTGTAGGTTATTCGGGATTTACGAGGATTTGAAGATTGCGTTAAAAGTTTAATTATAACGAAAGTAAAATAGTCAGTACGCTTTCGGATAGCATTTTGGACGAGTCTCAATCTCATCCTATTCACGTTACTGAAATATATACATATTTACAAATTTTTATGTTAGCCTTAATCTCGTCCTAAAGCCTAACATTGGTCCTTCAAGCCAGAGTTTTTCTGATATTTCCTAGTTATGTAGATACTCACTTGGGATATGACATTTAGGGATGTTTGTTATAAATGTATTTTGTGTATCAATAACTGCTTTATTTCAGTTCATAGTAAGTCACAGAACGCGATATTGCCGTTTTGGTCAGTAGCGCCCGTTTGATCTTAGGCATTCGTGCGGTTTGATGATTTGGTCTACTTGAAATTTTAGCTTTTGTAAATCTATGTAGTAATGGATAAAGCACACGGGATTTCTTTAATGTATATGAATTCTTTGCATTTTCAATGATCAAAATAAAATATAAAAGCTTTTAATAACTTGTAATAATCATGATATGAGCAGTAAGAGTTGTGTAGTTACCCGGCTGCGCTTGTTGGTGTTGTAGAGGCGACTGTTGGAGAAGACGAGGCGGACGTCGGCGGCGAAGTGGGCGGCGCGCGCGTAGGCCCCCGCCTGCAGGCGCGCGCGGACCGTGCCCAGGTCCATGGGCGCCGCCACGACGCGCGCGTAGTCGGGCGCCGCCCCCGGCGCCACGGGCGCGCGGAAGGGCTCCGCGTCCGCCGACGCCTCCAGCTCGGCCAGCACGCGGGCGCAGGCGTCGCGCCAGCCGGGCGCCGGGCCGCGCGCCGGGCCGGCCGCCGGGCCCGCGTCCTCGTCCGAGCTGCGGTAGGCGGCGGCCAGCTCGTGGTACTTGGCCAGCACGTCCACGTCGCGCCAGTGCGCGATGATGTGCAACAGGAGCTCGCTGACCAGGCGCGCCTGGCGCACGATGGCCGAGTGCGGCCGGTTGAAGCGCTCGGCGTTGGACGCCAGGCAGCGCGCGTCCCACTGCGCCGCCGCCGCGCGCCGGTAGAACAGCTGGTCGAAGCGCGCGCGGATCGTGGCCAGGTCCACGGGGTACGGCACCACGCGCGCGTAGCCCGGGTAGCGCGCCAGGTCCACGGGCGCCGCGAACGGCTCGGCCGCCGCCAGCGACATGACGGCGCCGACGTGGGCGGCGGCGGCGCGGCAGGCGGCGGCGCGGTCCCCCCGCGGGGGCCACTCGTGCGGCGCGGCGCGGTACAGCGCGGCCTCCAGCTCGTGGGGCAGCACGGCCACGGCGCCGCCCGCCACGCCGGGCAGACGCTCGGGGTCCAGCGGCTCCAGGTCCCACGGCGACAGGCGCTCCACCTCGCCGTTGTCCCAGCGCACGCGCAGCGCCAGGAACTGGTCGGCCGCGGCCTGCGCCCAGGCGGCGGCGGCGGCGGGCGCCAGCGCGGCGGCGGCGCCCGAGTCGGGGGGCGGAGGCCCGGCGGCGCTCTCGAGCACGGTGCCGGCCCACCAGCAGTCGTCGATCATGCAGCGGAAGCGGTCGCCGGGCCCCCAGCGGCGCGCGGCGGCGGCGTCGTACTGCTGGCGCAGCACCAGGAAGTCGATGACGTCGGGCATGTCGTGGTAGCGCACGGTCAGCGAGCCCCGCGCCGGGGCCAGGCCGCGCGCCAGGCGCAGGCAGGCCAGCCGGGGGGGGCGGATCACGTACTTGATGCCCACCACCTTGACCAGCTCGCACGGGTACACGTCGTCCGTGCCCTCCCACGGCTTGTCCCGCGCCGTCACGCGGTACACGTCCTTCTCCGCCACCGCCTCGAAGTACCGCTGGTGGCCCTGCACGACCACACAACAGAGTTAATGCCGCATCAAAGCATATAAACATAATACACAACTCAGCTGAAACTATTGAACAACTATCTAGAACAACGTAATTGGAAATGATAATGAACGAAACACCGATTTCGGTGTTCCCCAAGGAACTATATTGGGGCCTTCATTTTTCTGAATATACATAAACTATCTCTGTAATATACATTAAAACCACGTTTGTCTGTTTACGACAATAAGGTCTATATCAGTCTGTTTAGTGAAATATAAATTTTTAATACGTCTTTACTTAAGGGGTATTTATTGCAAACTGCCTTCTTTACAATTTCTTTTTAGAAGACTGGACTGTATGATCGTAATAATTTGAATGTGTGAAGTATGACTGTGTGCGTGAAACGTTGCTACTAACTTAATGTGAACTTAATTTATTTAGACACGGCCATATCATTAATTATACAGACGATACATTCTATAATGAGATTTCAGCTGACACAATAAGTTTGTGGAAAAAGGACTGCAGGGTAACTCACTCACCTTAAAAGCTGATAAGACTGTAACGGTCAAATTAAATCGTTTATTTGTGATTCACAGGTATAAAGACCTTATAAATAGAATATGTTCATGCCGTGATCCGCCACATAGGGCATACAAATTAGACAAAACTACACAGCATATATACCTACAACTAAACATAATAAATAAATAGGAAATAAGTAGCATTTACTTAATACTAATTATTTTGATATAAAATCACTAACACTGTAATAACAGTTTTCAATCAAGAATTTTGACAATTTATGTTTGAAGATATTCACATTATTAGAATCTCTAATATTTTTTGGAATGCTATTAAATATCTTAGTTGCCATATTGAATACACTTTTTTGATACAGAGTAGTTTTAAATCTCCTACTGATGTTATTGTATAATCTACTTCTATTGCGAGATCCAGATTCTAAGGTAAATAAAGTAGGATTTTGTCTTATAAATAGAACCGATTCTAGAATATAGATAGATGGAACTGTAAGTAAACCTAAATTTTGAAATATTTTTTGCAACTGTCAGTCTTTTTCAAGCCACACATAGCACGGATGCATTTCTTTTGACATTTAAAAACCCTGTCTCAATTAGTAGCATTGCTCCAAAAGATTATTGCATATCTTAACCTAGAAACAACTTTGAAGTGTGGGAGAGCCATGCTTCAGCACGAATGGGTCGGCTCTACCGGAGTGATACCACGGCCTCACAGAAAACCGGCGTGAAATAACCACAGCGTTGCTCTTCGCCGTGTGAGTGAGGTTACCGGAGGCCCAATCCTTCCCCTCCCCCAATCCCTAAATCTCTAAATCCCTAATCCCTAAAAGGTTGGCAACGCACTCGTAACTCCTCCGTTGCGGGTGTCCAGGGGCGGCGCTGATTGCTTACCATAAGGTAATCCGTCTGCTCGTTTGTCGACCTATTACATTAAAAAAAAAAAACATAACCATGATATGCTACGAGTAGTGTGGGGAGGCTTACTTTGTTCGAGAGGAGGTAAACACTGTAAGATGATTGTGATATTTTTTTGCAAAGGAAATCTATATGTGTCTGCCATTTTAAGTTATGTTTTTTTATGTGATAGGACGGCAAACGAGCAGGCGGATTACCTGATGGTAAGCTATCGGCGTCGCCCATGGACACCCGCAACAAAGGAGTTACGAGTGCGTTGCTGACATTTTAAGGATTGGGATTTTGGGACTGGGAAGGGATTGGGGTAGGGGAAGGATTGGGCCTCCGGTAACCTCACTCACACGGCGAAACACAACGTTGTGGTTGTTTCACGCCGGTTTTCTGTAAGGCCGTGGTATCACTCCGGTCGAGCCATGCCGTAGCCGAAGCATGGCTCTCCCACACTTAAAATGCGAAGTCCGAGAAATGTTGTTGTTGCGGTCAATTTTACTTCTTTTCCTAAATATTCTATCTTTGTATTAAATTGATTACTTGTTTTTTGCTTAAATTGCATTAGTTTAGTTTTATCTAGGTTTATTAATAAGTTATTATTTTCTAACTAATCTACTATTGAACATAAGCTACTATTAACTATAAATCGCGGGTTACTCACGTGTATATATTGAGAAAAGCTCTACTAGTTTCGAACCACAGAGGGGTTCTTGGCGGCGAGGAAGAACCCTTCTGTGGTTCGAAACTAGTAGAGCTTTTCTCAATATATACACGTGAGTACCTAACCCGCGATTTATAGTTAATTTAGTATGTCTCACGATAGTTATTATAAAAACATAAGCTACTATTAATATCATTTTCATCATTATAAACGACTGTACAATCATCAGCAAAAAGCACCATTCTGTAATTTGTTGACATGGGGAGGTCGTTAATGTAAATGAGGACTGCCTCAGGGCAGTGTTCTTGGTCCACTGCTTGGTTGTATCTACTCCGAATTTAATGAGTCTGGGACTTGATCTATAGTTTATATCATTTTTAGTTTTAGGACGGACGGTGTAACGTATACTAAAGATGTGTAATGTTGTAACGTAAGCTATGTTTGTATTTAGTACATACCTAAATATATAAGCAATGTCCGAGCACTCTCTGTGGAATACGGTAGTTTCCAACTAGTCAAATTCAATACTTTTATCGAAATGTCAAAAACGATAGGTACTTTACTATGAAATTTGTATGAAAAACTGAGGTATGACGTCATAGTACTTTTGCGTCAAATATCTTACTTATTTCTTAATAATTAGCTACAAAATATCTAAAACTTAGTGTATAGATCGATCGATGAATAAAAGTATAGTTATTTTTCAATATTTTATTGTATTGAACAGTTGAATTAATTTATTTTTGACCTAGGAAACTACCAAATTGTCGTGTGCTAAGAGACAATACATAAATGAGTCGTCGCCAGTCCTTTATTGTGTCTACACCCATTGTCACCCATCGAAAGTCAATAATCGGGATTACCACAATAATTGCACGACTCGCGCGAATAATCAATATGTGTGTTCCGGTACTAAAATGTCCCATACAGTAAAATACTTCGGATCTTTAATAGGCTAGCGTTCCGCCCCGGCTTCGAATGTATTCAATACGAAAACCCTGGGCACACAGACCAAGCTGTTGGTGTCACCGACTCATGAGAGTTGTAAGATAAAGTACAAATTATATTCGAGTAATTTTTAGATGAAATAATGATTAGTAACTTGTAATCAATACTTGTAGTTAGAATGAGATGCCTTATTTATTTATTACTAGCTATTCTCGCGCGGTTTCACCCGCTGATCGGCTCTATTTGATCATAGCGTGATGTTTTATAGCATATAGCACTCAGGAACATTGTAGCTATCTATCAGTGAAAGAATTTTGACAATCCGACCAGCGGTTCCAAAGATTACCCGTATGTACATACAAACTTACAAATTTTACCTCTTTATAATATTAGTTTATTTATTATTGAGAGAGCCTAGACAGTAATTCTCAATGTGTCTACCTTCCGCTCCTTCCTTTCTCCCTCTAAGCCGGTAACCATAAATGACGTGGGATGTTTTTATTTTTTAATTTTCTGCCCCTTTCTCCCCACTTGGTATGATGTCGTGAGATTTAATTGAATCCCACCCACCAGCCCTCAATCTCACGAGAGATTTTTCAGTTTTTTTTTTTCATCGTAAAAGTCGGCAAACGTTCAGACGGATTACCTGATGGTAAGCAATCGGTGCCGCCCATGGACACCCGCAACACCAAAGAAGATACGAGTGCTTTGCTGGCATTTTGGGGATAGGGGTTGCGGATATAAGGATAGGGAAGGGGAGGGATTGGGCCTCCGGCTGTGGTTGTTTCACGCCGGTATTCAGTGAGGCCGTGGTATCACTCCGATCGAGTCGACCCATTCGTGCCGAAGCATGGCTCTCCCACACTTCAAATGTCTATAAATGTCTTACTTAGAATGTGGGTTCCTTGCGTAAAATGTTGGACAAGTGATGGGCAAAACTTATTTATGAGTCTTTGTCCTGCAGTGGGACGACAACGGAAACTTTGAATATTTGATGATAGAAAAAAGAAATGGACTCCTTTCTCCGGTGGGGGAAGATGGGGAAATTGTTACATGTAACTTATGCTTTAGTGGTCGAGCGTGACAGATATTGTGTATATTTATACTAATATTATAAAGAGGAAAAATTGTAAGCTTGTACATATGTAGGGGGTAATCTTTGGAAGCACTCGTCGGATTTTCAAAATTCTTTCACTGATAGATAGCTACAATGTTCCTGAGTGCTATAGGCTATAAAACATCACGCTACGATTAAATGTAGCCGAGCAGCGGTTGAAACCGCGCGAGAGTAGCTAGTATCTACTGCACAAATTTTTGATAAGAAAAATATTTTAACAGCCGAATTGCATGGGAACCCCCGGTTAACTGAATGAGGGCATTAAAACGGGACTTGTTCAAAACTACCACTGTTGTAAATTACAATGATATCGACAGATTTTTTAAACACGTTTCTTTACAATAAAATCAACTTGTGTACCCTGACTCGATGAAACTGATTGTATTAACCACTTAGCTGCCTGTATATGATAAACGATAGAAAACATTGTCTCGCGTGGATCAGTATTCTACGGGTTACTGTAGTTTAGTGATTTTTGTATACAATTTTTTCCTTTTATTTACGTTTACGTATTATATGATGGGAATATTCAACAGGATACAAACATTGCCACTTTTTGAGTATTTGTTAATTTTAAATTATTTACACAGGATATCCTAGTTCAGGCACGTTACTCGGATTTAAGCTTATAAGATTCTGTTATATAAACACTGCGGTACTCACGAGTCGGAAGTAGAGACACTCGTCCCCCATCTGTGGGTGGTAGGGCGCCTTGCGCGGCATGACGGCGGTGATCCAGTCGCCGGGCCGGTAGGCGTCCGGCAGGTCGTCCGGCGGCGCCGGCGCGGGGCCCGCGGCGTCCGGGTCGGCGGCGGCGGCGGCGGGCGGGGCGCCGCGCGCGGCCCGCTTGGTCACCGAGGGGCTGTAACTGCACGCCGTGGGGTGAGGCCGCGCCCGGCGGGGCGGGGCTGCGCCGGGGCCCGCCGGGGGTACGTACCGGTTGGTGGGCAGCGGGCGGCGCCGCGCGCGCGCCGGGGGCGCCAGCGCCGCGCCCGCCTCCCAGTCCGAGTACTGCGACGACGACGACGAGCTGCAACACAACGCGCCATACACTCACTGCACACACACTCACCCCAACACACACACACACACGCGGACACCCACCTGTCGCTCTTGCTCCCCGAGTTGTGCGAGCTGCGACAAAGTCAACACGTTAGTACCACGGTACCGGGGTTACTGCGGCGGAGGGCGCGGGAGGGGCGAGAGGGCGCCAGTACTCACCTGGACTCGGAGTCGGAGAGGTCGAGGCTGGAGTGCTGCGAGTCGGGGTCGGCGCGGGGGGCGCGCTGCACCCACTCGTCCGACGTGTCGCTGCAGGACGCGGCCGACTCGGGCTCCGGCGGGTCGGGCGCACGCGTCACCGTGCGCGGAGACCGGGGTGCGGCCCGGGGCCGCCGCCCCGCGCGACGACGGGGACCTGTGCCCTCAGGGGCTGTGCTGATCATGAGCGGACGGCGTCTCATCTCACGCCGGTACCAAGCCTGCAATGTTCAAAAATATTTTTTAATTTGATTTACAAACTAACTAACGTACTTTTTAACCAAACTATTATAAAAAACACGCGCTGAAGCAGTTCAAGAATCTAATCAATATTTTACACATTTCTATACTTTCATAACATCGACGTATATCCGATACAAGACAATGTCATCATAGAGTACAGTAAAAAAAGGACCCAACAGAGACCCCTGGGGTACACCAAAATATCCCTATATACGAAATCAGATTTAAAACCTCCTATAGTAACAGCTTACGATCTGTTCAATAAGTAAAACTGAAGCCATCTTAGTACGGGGTGTACTTAGATACCAGTTCATACCAGGTCTTTGCAGCTTTTCGCTTAGCTTTGGGGTGTGTCCGTAAAATTAGTGATCTACACGATCAAACGCTTTTTCAAAATTCGTGAAGATCACATCCACCCGGCCACATATGCTTTCATACAAAAAGTGGCCAAGTTGAAGATGCTGTGGAAATGCTCATCAATGGAAATCAAGCCATGCTGATTCGGGCATAATATAATATACCGTTTGATGTTTGAGTAATATACTATTACTTATACATAATTTTCTTTGTTATACTTTCATGGTAATAGATGCGCGTTCGCTTAGGGTTTGATGAATACATTGTATTAAGAATTGAATGATACATTATATACCCATTCCGGATCCCTTGTTATGAACTGGAGCTATAAGAGCCATTCGGAGGATAGACATACTAGGACAAAGAGACTTTGGGAAATTGGTGTCTTCTTAATAGAAGGTCGGTCGGTACCTGTTCGAGCGCGTTGAGGTCGGCGGCGGCGCGATGCAGGCGCTCGGCGACGGCGGGCGCCAGCGGGGGCACGAGGGCGCGCGGCGCGGGGGGCGGGGGCGCGTCCCCGCGCTGCCACGACCCCGCCGTGTAGCGCACGCCCTCGCCGCGCCACACGCCGCGCGGGGACCGCGCCCCCGCCAGCGCCTCGATCATGGCGTCGATGCGCGACCGCGGCGCCTCCGCCATGGGGATCAGCTGCGCCAGCGCCAGGCTCTCGCGCCCCGGCACCAGGCGCTGGAACTCGGGCGGGTGGGGCGCGCCCTCCACGTCCACCAGGAAGGGCGGCGGCAGCAGGTGGGGGGGCGTGTCCGTCTGCTCGTCGTGCGCGCCGCCCTGCGCGTCCACCACCACGGGTCGGTAGTCCGTGTGGAAGAACAGCTCGGGGGGCAGCGCCCCGAACAGGCGATGGCCGCGGCCCAGCCCCAGCAGCAGCAGGTGGCCGTGCGAGTCGGTGGCGGCCACGCTGGCGCCGCCCCCCCACTTGGCGTCGAAGATGGCGCCGTCGCCGTGGCCCTCGATGCGGTTGTGGAAGGTGGCGAGGGGCTCGGGCTCGCGCGCGTCCCACACGAAGAGCTGGCCGTCGTGGCCGGCCGACAGGAACACGCCGGCCAGGAAGGGGTGCGCCTCCAGCACGTAGGCCTCGTCCCGGTGCCCGCGGAGCACCCGGACCGGCGCCGCCGTGCGGGCGCACCACACGCGGATGCTGTGGTCCGACACGGCCGTCAGCACGAACGCGTCCGACCGGTCCCAGCACACCATGGTCATCTTCAGCCGCTTGCCGTCCCCCCCCTCGGCCTGCGGCTGCAGCAGCACGTGCCGCCACTGCGTCGCGTGCAGCGTCCACAGCGCGGCGCTACCGTCCTGCCACACCCACCGCACTGTACCACTCTGTGTCTGCTCATTGCACTACTCCCCGTTCCCCTCCCCGGCACTCACCTTGCTGCCCGATACGAAGCGCAGGCCGCGGTGCGCCCAGGCGATGCTGTCCACCGCGTCGTCGTGCACCGGCGTCTCCAGCACCTGCGGGCAGAGCACGGCGTCAGACCCGCTCCGTGTAGTAGTACAGTATAGCATGTAGTGCGGTGGGTGGTACAGACCCGCTTGGGCCCGCCGGGCTCGTGCTCGACGGTGTAGATGCGCACGTGGTGGTCGGCGCTGCCGGCGGCCAGGAAGGCGCCGCCGGCGGACCAGGCGGCGCAGATCATGTGGCAGACGCCGGGGCGCATGCGCTCCACGTACTGCACGGGCTGCGACAGGAAGTGGCCGTCGGGCGAGCAGGTCCAGAAGGCCACGGAGCAGTCGGTGGACGTGCTGGCCAGCCAGCGCACGTCGCGGCGCGCGGGCGGCGCCCAGTGCACCGACGTGATGGTGCCGGCGTGCGCGGCCAGCACGGCGCGCGGCGCGCCCGAGGCCAGGCACCAGACGCGCACCAGCCGGTCCACCGAGCCGCACGCCAGCAGCGCGCCGTCCGCGCTCACGCACACGTCCGTCACCTCGGCGCCCACGCCGCGCAGCGTCGCCAGCAGGCGCCCGTCCAGCGCGCTCCACACCTTCACCAGCATGTCGTCGGCGCCCGTCATCACGTAGCGCCCCGAGCAGTCCACCACCAGGCAGTACACGGCCGACAGGTGGCCCAGCGTGCGCCGCTGCAGCTGCAGCCCGGCCAGCAGGCGCGCCGGGAACAGCGCCGCGCCCCCGCGCCCCCCCGCCGCCGCCGCCGCGCCCTGCCCCAGCTCGCGCGCCACCAGGCGCCGCACCAGCGAGTGGTCCACCACGTGCGACGCGTAGCGCGGCCGGGGCCGCACCAGCGTCTCGCTCAGCAGCGACAGCCGCGCGGCCAGCCGGGGCGCAGCGCCCCCGGCCGCGCCCCCGCCCTGGTTGGGCGCCAGCCGCGCCAGGGCCACGGCGCGCTCGCATACGGACGCGAGTCGTCGCCACGACACATCAGCGTGTTGGGATGCCTGCACACAGTACACATGTGTAGAACAAAATATTTGTGATAAAATACAGTGCACAAAATATAGTGCACTATGGAAGTACCACGAGGCCTCTACAACTATGTTACCCTGACAGTCAATGTTTGAGAATAATATTGATGTACCCCAAAAATACCTGCACAGTACCTAATCATTCTATGTTTATCAGGTAAACATGACAATTCTGTCTTCTGATTTTAGTGTCTACATTTGTCAGTAAACTTTTATTAATATTTTTAATTTAATTTAGTGCTTTAATTATGTTCAGGTGACAATGGCCCACAGATAGACCTTAAAAAAAACTAAGTAATTAAACACATTATAACAATAAAAAAGTGGTTTAAAATACTACATGTTACCAGATAGTTGAGTTTTAGCTGTAATTAATTTTATATTCAACTAGCTTTTACCCATGGCTATACCTATCATACTCTACCCTACCTATAGAGTATGTAGAGTACCTAGAAGATAGGATTATCTTCTTCTAATTCATCCCCTCTAATTAATTATCAATAAAATCGGTTCAGCCATTCATGAGTTATAAATGAAGTAAGAAACACTACTTTCTTTTAATACAGATAGATTCATAAGCAAATAAAAATACTTCTAAAGGCCAGCAACAATGCTAATGTCTGTCAAAAACATCGTCATACTGTGTGTATATATTAAATTCGAGAATTTTATTTAATTTTCGCAATTTACGTCCATATATTGTAATAAAAGTTTTTTTTACAATAGGATCGTAATTAGTGTGCAAGGTTTTCGTTCGCAGAGCAATTTAAAGATGGCGGCATTTTACTTCGACAGCGGTTCGTATCTGCTCGGCCGCCTTCGGCTCGGCGACGGCTAATCGCGGCCGAGCGCCGTTGCACTCGAGCGAAAGAGCGAGACAGAGCATGCCATGTAGCCACGCTCGCGTGTGACGAAACGAGATAGAAAGCATTCTAATTACGACACTGTTCCTTCTCGATAGTACATGATATAACATTTTTTTCGCAAATTAGCCAAAAACATTAATTTTATCACTTAAACACCATAAAAATATTTTTGCCGTTGTTCCACCGAATTTAGGCGATCAAATTGATGCATAATACAAATAAAAATATTTTGTCGTTATTTTACAATTTAATGTATTCCAATTAGTTACGCGGGCCACAAAACGTAAATAAACAAAGTTTGGGCGCTAAACTCTACAAACTCACCAGTTCATCGTAAGACTGGGCGTGCTCGTGTCCCTCCCAGTCCAGTCGCCGAGGCAGCACCTGCAACACCGCAGACCGTACAAAAACTTTTCACGCAACTTTCAGCGAGTTTGACAGCCACAGCCACGTGCGTCCGCTACCAAAACAACAATATAAGCTCAAACCCGGCGCTAGGAAAAGCTTTAACTCACCTCTATACTCTCGAGCTCTTTTAGCAAAGTCTGTAAAAAAAACACTCAAAGTTAGTTCCTTACTCTTACAAAACAATTCTCTGATCACATTCCGAGTCAATTTACCTTTGCAGTCTCTTTCAGGGGTCCGCCCGATAGAAATTTCGCTATCAGAAAGTAGAGCTCTGAAATCGGGAAAGCTAACATTACACGACCTCGCACGACAGTTACTCTTATTTTCGAACATTATTTTCAAGGCACTGCGCTTACCGGGAACGACCCTGAGCTCGTCGTTGGACTCCTCCATAACCCTAGTTTATAAATCAAGGGTTAAAATATCACTTCACATTACATTCACTGTAAAAATCTAGCAAACATTTCACTTTACATTGTTGACGAACAGATAATGCAACCCTCTGTAATAATAGCAAAATGGCGTTTTAGCTGTCAGTCAAACAGTTCGTAGTGAATCCATGTCGGTCCAACAGTCTCAATGGTACGATTATTGATTTCTGCACTAGATGTCGCCACTTGTTGTTTTTATTATAGTTTTATTTTAATTAGTTATAATATTTTATACATGCTTTTTAAATGCAGGAAATTACCTTACCTATTTTTATTTTTTAACTGTCTGTGTAGAAACTATTTTTCGAGCTTGGTCATATTGCAAGTTTGCAAGTCCTTGACCTCGTGCGTTAGCCAGGTTGACCTAAATACCCACGTATTATTTCTGCAGGCAACTTCATTGTGTCAGATGTCAAACTCGTCAAAGTATACTGATACGCGATTGTTGTTATAAATCCAAGTAAAATGAATAAAATAGTGATATCAAACGATGGGGTTTGGTGTTGAGCCGTGTGTAGTGAGTGAAACATTAAGTGTAAACTGTAGATTAAGCGAACAAAACGAGTGGTGCAGAACTTTGCCGCGGCCGAGCCGGGGCGGAGTCGCGAGCCAGCAGGCTCAGGTTCAGAAAGCAGCATCAGCCTGCGGGCGTCTCGTGCGCCCTAGCATGTCCCTCCGGTCATCATACTCATCTCTACCAACAGTCAAATGTAAGTGAGGCCACTCCTCTTCGATATAGGTCATCTGTGTGTAAATGTGCATGATTCGGTCAGTGGGTATCGATTGTTGCGTATTAATACTCCGTGCGAGGTCCTGCCGCCACCCGCACACTACGCCTCGCTGGACTCGCTTCACGAGTCACTACACATTACACATATTACTACAACATGTACTTAGAAAACAGCAGTCTTTTGTGAGCTTTGACCAATACAACAACATACGGCGATAACACGCACACCTTCGCCTGTAGTATAGATACGCGGACTGATAAGTGTAACAGTAGATAGTGTCAGCCTATGTGTGAGTGACATGCTGACTGTGCAATTTTTTCTCAAAACTGCACACTTTCACTTTTGTTTAGATAGTACTGTGAGTCTGACCAGTGCATGAGCAGTGCCGCTACTGGCACAGTGGATAGCTCTATACATTTACAACTGTCTACCATAGCTTGTAATGTGGGTAGTTGTCATTTTATGTACTTGTTCATTCCTGTACTAAGTTCAATATGTGGGTATACGCAGAATTGATGCTTACACAATATCTTTGCTCTGTCAAAACTTCCAATACCATGGGCTATTGAATTGTTTGATGGTTTAATAATTCAATTTTTTTTTTATTTCACTGGCAGTATAGTTGACAACATTTAATTGGAGACTTGGTTAACATCGAAGAAAGAAAAAAAATATTTTTAATGGATATATTGGCATGAAATTTGTGTAAAAAACTGATATCATTTCAGAGATTTTTGTATAAAATCTTTAGTCTACTACATAGTATAAAACAAAGTCACTTTCTCTGTCTTTTTATACCAAGTAGGTATGATTAAATATTTCAAACTCTGCAACAGGTTTTTTATTAGAGAAATACTGTCATTTTAGGTGTTTCCATATGTGAGGCCATAAATATTTTGCTATTTTGCTGTCCCCTATAAGATTTATCAAAAGAATTTAATTAATATTGTACACATCAAAAAGGTCTAGGTTCACAGTGGTATCAGTCGACCTCGTATGGTTGTTCCACATTCTCATATTTTAATTATTAACTTCTTACAACAAAATAAAGGCTAATTATACCCAACTAGCTACTCTCGTGCGGTTTCACCCGCTGCTCGGCTCCATTTGATTGTAGCGTGATGTTCTAAAGCCTATAGCACTCAGAAATATTGTAGCTATCTATCAGTGAAAGAATAATGGCAATCCGACAAGTGGTTCCAAAGATTACCTCCTATATAAAAACTTACAAATTTAACATCTTTATAATATTAGTACAGATACAGCATTAATGCTTACATAGATCTAAATAGCTCTTTGCAGATAGATATATTTTCAAAAGTATTATTATTTAAAACTGATTTTGTGCTGTGTTTTTCTGTATCATAATTGCATCTGCGGCCCAGCCAGGGCGGGTTGCTGGTAGGTGACAATATTGAGTGCATTACTTCCTTCTGATGGAACATATTATTATATCATTATGCACCTTCTTTTAGACACGGTTATTTAGGTAGATATTTGATGATTAAAATTAATACTTGTGTTTTAGTTAAATGCTATAATTAAAGTTAATGCTTTTCTATGAATTCATTCTACCATTACCTTTGTCTGGTAAAAAGTAGCTAATTAATTATTCAAAGTTTAATTTATCTAATCACCGAAAGACAAATGAGAAATATGTCATAAGTCATAAGAATATTATTCTTAACTTAACTTCTACCTCCTGCTCCACCCATATTATCAGGGTAAAAAGTAGCCTACATACATGTTATTCCAGACTATAATCTATCTGTGTGCCAAATTACATTCGGATCCGTTCAGTAGTGTTTATGTGAAGGAGTAACAAACATCCATCCGTACTTACACACTTTCGCGTTTATAATAGGAGGTTAAAGACGAGTGATATGATAATGTGTTCATGTTAAATACCTTCCTATTTATTTTTTATACTAAAAAAATAAGGGATATTAATCAAATTTCGGTATTTGCAATAGTTATAAAACTAAAAAGTGGATATAAAATATAAATAGTACATATACTTACATGAAAAAAGAGTGTGAAAATACCAAAATAAAGTAGGTAACGACAATAATTAATATTTGGGTCTTCTTATCTACACTAATGTTATAAAGCAAGAGAGTTTTTTTGTGGGTATCAGTAGTTCTGAAGATTAGGGCGTCCAGCGCTAACCACCGGAACTAATTTTCTAAAATTTTCTTACACTAGTACTTACACTGCTTACAATAATAAACACGACAAAAAATAATTACAAAATTATTCGAGGCGTTCTAGAGTTATGCACTTATCAACTCCTTGTCATAATTCATTTTTATCTTTTTACTAGCGGCCCGCCCCCGCTTCGCACGGGTCCAGCTATCTCGCTATCAAAGGGTCACTTTTTCCTAATCTTCCCCTCTACTTTTCTAATATTTTCTTTTATAAAAACCTTCTCCTGACAATAACAAACGCAACAAAAAAATAATTAGCAAATTTGGTCCAGGCGTTGTTGAGTTATGCGCTTACCAACACATTTTGCTATCCATTTTTATATATAAGAAGATATTTATCGTTAATGACGACGGATAACTGAGAAAAGCTCGACTAGTTTCTAGTCACACCGGGACTCTTATATTCACGAGCGAGAATGCGCTTCGAGGCGACGTCGCCTAGACATCATAGCTCTTCATTATTTTTGACAATGTTTCCTTATAAAAAAAATATAGAAAAGCAGCCTGGCACCGATGTGGCCCTGGCTTAGAGCATGAGAATGAATGGGGTGGTTTTTAGTCAGTGAAAACAGACACTCTGCCTCACCCCATACACGGGGGATAAAGTCGTTTGAAAATTTTCCGTCTTAAGCAAAAAAACCCTATTAGATGTTGGTCGGAGCCCGCATCCCAAAAGTCGACAATATATTATAAATATTTTATTGAATGCAAATAAATTAAAAACACCCAACTTACTTCTGTAGGTACCTCGAAGACCAACAATTGGGTAGTTTCCTAGGTCAAAAATAAATTAATTCGTTCAATACAATGAAATATCAAAAAATAACTATACTTTTATTCATCGATCGATTGATATGTCACAGGGATATGATAAAAACAGGGATTTGGCCACATCCCTAAGGGATTTAATCAAATCACGGAGGATGTTAAAATAACAACAAGTTTTTATCATTTCCCTAAGCAAATCTGGTGATTTGACAAATCTCACTAAAGAAATCTAGCGATTTGAACAAATCCATGAATTGGTTCAGTGAAATGACAAAACTATCTTTTGTGATATTTTTAAGGTATATTTTGTAATATTACCTACATAATTATAATAATCAGGTGTATCACAATGCAATATTAATCTCAAAAATCACCACTAGAACATTATTATTTGAAAAAAGAGGAACAAAAATAAAAATAAAATAAGTAGAATAACTTAACGTATCATACGTTAAGTTTAACTTAAGTTAAGGCGCGGTCACTGACAAGCAAGTGGGCAAACGAGCAGACGGATTACCTGATGGTAAGCAATCAGCGCCGCCCATGGACACCCCCAACGGAGGAGTTACGAGTGCGTTGCCGCCTTTAAGGGATTTAGGGATTGGGGTAGGGGAAGGATTGGGCTTCCGGTAACTTCACTCACACGGCGAAACACAACGTTGTGGTTGTTTCACGCCGGTTTTCTGTGAGGCCGTGGTATACCATCGTTTGCCATCTTTGTGTTATACATTTCAATATTTTCTTCGTTAACTTACATATTGATTGAAATCTTTTTTATTCCACACTTGAAGAAAGCTTTAGTGTTTTATCTTGTGCGTTCTTGTGACGACTAAAGAGCGATTTTACATGATAATAATACCTTTTCAAGAATTATGAAAATTAACAAACCCAATATTAGTTTCTCAGGGATGGGATTTCGGATTGGGTGGCAGTAACTGCACTCACACAACTCGTCACGGTCACGGCGGTGCTCAAAAAACACGTGCCTTATGTTTTTCCCTTCGCAAAATTTGCGGAGTGAGGGAGTGAAAGACTCCACCCTTTTGTTTATCAACTGTCTACAAGTTAGTAACAAAATTACTACCTCGTTCTGTAGATTTGACCCAAGTAGTTGCGTAATTTTCTCACACAAGATGTCACGAAGTGCAGCACAGGTAGCAACGGGCGTTACATGTTTTTAATTTCACCATTATTAGCCTTATTTATTTATTCATGCACACAAAATATTACATGTTTAGACACGACTAGCTACTCTCACGCGGTTTCACCCAGTACTCGGCTACGTTTGATCGTAGCGTGATGTTTTATAGCCTATAGCACTCAGGAACATTGTAGCTATATATCGATGAAAGAATTTTGGTAAACCGACCAGCGGTTATTATTATAGATGTAGTTATGAAAAGAGGTACAAAAATACTGCATATTTCAAAAGTATTTTTCCTTAGACCAGGAAAGTTAAATGATGCCTAACTATGTCATTCATAGAAGTGAGTAGGACCAAAAGTACTTCCCTGAGGAGCGCCAAATATATTTGTATTTATTACAGGTAGGCCATTACTTTCGTCCCCCACCGTGAATAGTTTCTGAAGATTTGTAAGATAACACGTGATCCAACTTAACGCCACGTTGTCGTATTCCCGCTACTTTAGAAAGTAGAAGATTTACGGATATAGTATCGAAAGCCTTTGCTAGATTTCAGAAAACGCCTTTGACATGCTCTCCTGATTGTATGAAAGTAGCTATTGAATTAATAAGTAGTGTTGCAGCCTTGCAGCTTCTTCGGCGGACTTACCAGTTGTAAAACTAGATAGTAAATTGTGTTTTCCTCAAAAGCTAACAGAGGAGCACTTTAAAAAATTGTTAGTTGATAAAGGGCTGGACGGTAATTCATTGGAAAATTCAATTTTCTAAACTGAAGTTGAAAATATATGTAAGTGGTTTTTAGTAATGTCTTTTTCGACTTTTTTATCGTTTCTTTTTTCATATATGTACATAATATTCCCA